AGAAGAAAATGTATATATATGCTGGTTAGCATTGTAAATGTCTGGCCACGTCTGTGGTAGACAATAATAAAAATAAAAAATATAATAATTATATCACCAAAATCCAGCAGGTTTTTCCTCTATCTCTTAATTGCTTCATTTACAACACAGATTTCAACTAATATTTTCACACTAATATTAAATACTCTTCATAAAAGGCAACCACTTGGGCTGGACGGTAGAGCGACGGTCTCACTTCATGCAGGTCGGCGTTCAATCCCCGATCGTCTAAGTGGTTGGGCACCATTCCCCCCCCCCCCGTTCCATCTCAAATCCTTGTTCTGACCCCTTCCCAGTGCTACCTAGCCCGCAATGGCTTGGTGCTCTCTCCTCATAGTTCCCTATCCTACTCCACAAGCCACGTGGATAACAGTAGAGAAATGAATAGGAAAATACGTGATGAACAGTCAAACCCGCGTCTCACACTCCATAGGAGTCGTTGATGTAGTCGTGTCACTCTTTATAAGAGTCGTTGATGTAGTCGTGTCACTCTTTATAAGAGTCGTTGATGTAGTCGTGTCACTCTTTATAAGAGTCGTTGATGTAGTCGTGTCACTCTTTATAGGAGTCGTTGATGTGGTCGTGTCACTCTTTATAAGAGTCGTTGATGTAGTCGTGTCACTCTTTATAGGAGTCGTTGATGTAGTCGTGTCACTCTTTATAGGAGTCGTTGATGTAGTCGTGTCACTCTTTATAGGAGTCGTTGATGTAGTCGTGTCACTCTTTATAGGAGTCGTTGATGTAGTCGTGTCACTCTTTATAAGAGTCGTTGATGTAGTCGTGTCACTCTTTATAGGAGTCGTTGATGTAGTCGTTTCACTCTTTATAAGAGTCGTTGATGTAGTCGTGTCACTCTTTATAGGAGTCGTTGATGTAGTCGTGTCACTCTTTATAGGAGTCGTTGATGTAGTCGTGTCATTCTTTATAGGAGTCGTTGATGTGGTCGTGTCATTCTTTATAAGAGTCGTTGATGTAGTCGTGTCACTCTTTATAGGAGTCGTTGATGTAGTTGTTTCACACTCCATAGAAGTCGTTGATGTAGTCGTGTCACTCTTTATAGGAGTCGTTGATGTGGTCGTGTCACACTCCATAGAAGTCGTTGATGTGGTCGTGTCACACTCCATAGAAGTCGTTGATGTGGTCGTGTCACACTCCATAGAAATCGTTGATGTGGTCGTGTCACACTCCATAGAAGTCGTTGATGTGGTCGTGTCACACTCCATAGAAGTCGTTGATGTGGTCGTGTCACACTCCATAGAAGTCGTTGGGTTTCACCGTAAAATCGTCGTAATCAGTAACGCAGTAAATCCTACATTACCCGAGCATACTTTTCCCACTGGAAAAGAGAGAAGTAGTGATGACGGAAGACAGAACAGGAGAAAGGGAGGGGGAACTGAGGCAGGAAGGGAGAAAGGGAGGGGGAACTGAGGCAGGAAGGGAGAAAGGGAGGGTTAAGACAAACGGAGACATAAGACACTCATGCATACACCCACTAATATACATATAAATTGCAAAGTCCGCGTTCGAGGTTTTAAAATTCAGATGCTTAGGGATAGTCTCACTCAATCTCCCTATATAGTTACTGTGGGAAAAGTGTTCTATATGATCGACACTGTGTCACAGGGGGACCCCTGTGAGCCTTCTGACGATTCTGGCATTAGAGGGACCTTAAAAAATGTCTCAAAAATGATTTCAAAACAATTATTTTCTTGCCATATAGTAAAATATTATGCACTGATGGCTGGAAAATTGGCCAAAAAGTTTATATATCTATCATACTTTGGCTGTAAAAGACAAATATGTGATAAAATAACTATGGAGACATGGGATTTGGTGGAGCCTCCACCCCAAAGCCTAGCAACACAGCCTGGTCCATCATGCTACTCAGCCTGCTCCATCACGCTACCCAGCATGCTCCATCACGCTACCCAGTTCTACATATTTTCTGGTTAAATTCCATTATCCTGCCAAAGAACCGCTGACGGAGGCGGTCACCTTAATGCACAGAACGTCGCTGCTCCTGGTTATATATTCAGAATTTCCTGAATACTAAATTCAGATCTCTGAATCCAAGTGCATTAATAGACGAGCTCCGGAAGACGACTACACAATTCGACCCTTTATTCTGAACGACGCTCAGTTTATAGTGCCAATCAGCTGATGAAACATGAAGGATGTTTGTATTGTCTCTTAGGGATGTGTCTTAGGAAATGTGTCTTAGGAGGATGTGTCTTAGTGGATGTATCTTAGGAGTTTAACCCATTATGACTAGACTGGTAGTTCACCTGGGACACATGTGTGTCATTAAGGGGCTACAATTGGTTGTTCAGTGTAATTACAGTCGCAATACTATATTAGCTGATAATCAACTCAGTCTGGAATCTAAATTATTTAATTATTAATTATTATTCGAAGCATGCAAGGGTTAATGACGGTGGGTCAGAGAGGTGGGGGTGACTAGGGCTCACAACCAAGGTACTTAGGCAGGGTGATTCGAGTGAAGATAGACAAAGTGGAGATAGACAAAGTGAAGATAGACAAAGTGAAGATAGACAAAGGCAGTGAGGATGAAGGGAACAGAGAGGAAGGACTCATAAAGCAAGAGCTGGGCAGGAAAGGGTGAGAGATAATGTGATAAAATAGGAACCAAAGAGACCAGTTATCGAGGAAAGAGACAGAGTAAGAGGCGAGGGAAGAGGAAGAACAGAGGAGGAGGAGGAGGAGGAAGGGAAGCATAAAGAAACGATGAATAATTAAGGGAAAGTAATTAATCAAAGGAGAAATAAAAAGAAACGAGAAGGGTTGAGAGATGATTAGAGCCTCACAGAGCGAGAGGGCGTCTCCGTGGCGCAGTGGTAGCGTGTTTACCACACACCTAGCGACCGGCGTGCTACAGAGGGGGTCAAACCCTGGACAAGGAGTGTCAAGCGGGCACCGATCCCTCACCGCCAGCAGTCGTTAACGACCCGGTTCTAGACCGCCGGGTGATTTGTGTTCCAGGGAGGGGAAACTAATAGAGATAAGGGTGAGGATGATACTGATGACACATGATACTGGGGGAAGCTGAGGTAAAGCCGGACACATGTTCAATAACGCTGAGGCAACAACTGCTACACATGTTGTTGAGGGGTAGTTTACTTGGGACACAAGTGTCATAAGGGACGGCAGGTGTTTACAACATGTGAGTTATGGGGGTGTGGGTGGTGCCAGCCCCGTCACTGGCACCACCTGGCACCCTGTACTGGTGCCATATTCTACCAGATATGTCTGGTAGACCTGTCCATCAATGTGGCTGGAAGATCTGTCTATCAATGTGGCTGGTAGATCTGTCCATCATTGTGGCTGGTAGACCTGTCCATCAATGTGGCTGGAAGATCTGTCTATCAATGTGGCTGGTAGATCTGTCCATGAATGTGGCTGGTAGATCTGTCCATCAATGTGGCTGGTAGATCTGTTCATCATTGTGGCTGGTAGATCTGTCCATCAATGTGGCTGGTAGACCTGTCCATCAATGTGGCTGGTAGATCTGTCCATCAATGTGGCTGGTAGATCTGTCCATCAATGTGGCTGGTAGATCTGTTCATCAATGTGGCTGGTAGATCTGTCCATCAATGTGGCTGGTAGATCTGTTCATCAATGTGGCTGGTAGATCTGTTCATCAATGTGGCTGGTAGACCTGTCCATCAATGTGGCTGGTAGACCTGTTCATCAATGTGGCTGGTAGATCTGTCCATCAATGTGGCTGGTAGATCTGTTCATCAATGTGGCTGGTAGATCTGTTCATCAATGTGGCTGGTAGACCTGTCCATCAATGTGGCTGGTAGATCTGTCCATCAATGTGTCTGGTAGATCTGTCCATCAATGTGGACATTGCTCGTGTTGAACTCCAGTAGCCATTTCTCTGACCATCTCTGCAACCTGTTCAAGTCCTCTTGGAGGATCCTACAATCCTCATCAGTCACAACTTTGCATCATCCGCGAACATCGACATGAGGACTCTACTCCTGTAAACATGTCGTTAACATAAATTAGAAATAGAATTGGTCCCAGCACCGATCCTTGAGGTACTCCACTTGTTACTGTTCGCCAGTCCGACTTCTCGCCCCTTACTGTTACTCTCTGGCTCCTTCCTGTTAGATAGTTCCTTATCCATGCTAGTGTGTGTGTGTGTGTGTGTGTGTGTGTGTGTGTGTGTGTGTGTGTGTGTGTGTGTGTGTGTGTGTGCGTGCGTGCGTGCGTGCGTGCGTGCGTGTGCGTGCACGATCGCCGGAAAATTTTTGAGTACTCGGGAAGGCGCGAGTTTGTGTGTGGAGTGTGAGTGTGGATGAGTGTGCGAGTGTTGTGCAGGGTGTATGAGACAGAGCTCGGTGGAGTGCTCAGGGTATTGAACACCCTAATGGCAGGAGACGGTACGGAATGATAATTGGGCAGGTGGGCAGATATATATATATATATATATATATATATATATATATATATATATATATATATATATATATATATATATATATATATATATAGAAGGGAGTACCACCTCTAGCTGGAAGAAGGGGGACCCATAGCCTCGGAGGAAACCACGCATAACGCATTAGAGGGAATGTTTAGATCCCCTCCAATACAGTTTCTGTGTGCTTTTCTCCTACCACCCCCTTCCTTGAATATTTTTGTGCTTTATTATGCATTTGATGGTTACAAGATATACATGGGTTGATACAAAAATAATATATATATATATATATATATATATATATATATATATATATATATATATATATATATATATATATATATATATATACGTGGAAGGAGCCTGAACAGGGTGAAATAATTTAGAGAGAGAGAGAGAGAGAGAGAGAGAGAGAGAGAGAGAGAGAGAGAGAGAGAGAGAGAGAGAGAGAGAGAGAGAGAGAGAGAGAGAGAGGAGTAGGCCTTAATAATACAAGCCTTAACATAGTTATACGATGAATAAACGCAATATAATGTATAATCTTACTTTGAAAGCATGTATATGTTACACATGAAATGGTGTACATATTTCAGGACCCACAGTTGGCAGATGTAACCATGGCAACCACTGAATAACTTGTAGATTCAGTGATCAATGCATAAAGCTGCATAGTGTACTCATATATTACATTTTTAAGTCAATTCTTCATTTATTTATTTTGATTCGTATGTTTTCATTCGAATTTTTTTTCAGCTAATTTCAAAACAAAAGTGTTCAGAAGTCACAAAGAAATTAAATTTTCCTCAAACTGAACGGCCCAGTAGGACAAAGAGTTGGGATATGAGGACAAGGAGCTGGGATATAAGGACAAGGAGCTGGGATATGAGGACAAGGAGCTGGGATATGAGGACAAGGAGCTGGGATATGAGGACGGAGTTGGGATATGAGGTCAAGGAGCTGGGATATGAGGACAAGGAGCTGGGATATGAGGACTAGGTGAAAGAACGGTATCCGACTACTTGGACCATCGGGAATCGAACGATAAAAACAGCTTCCTCAAGAACTGAATCTCTTACAAGAGTCCAGGGCACCGTTGGCACTGGTGGAGTCACTGCTGCACCAGGGCACCGTTGGCACATCTTCAATGCCAGAATCTGGGAACTAATTGTCATTATTGACATCAACAATTTTTACTTGAGAACATAAGAATTAAGAAAACAGTAGACTTCCTTCTGGCCCATATGAAGCTTCTCCTATTTATATCCACCCAAACTCATTCATATATATGTCTAACCTACGCTTGAAACAATCCAGCGATCTATCATATTACCCGGTAATTTGGTCTTGAGACCAACACCCATGTTTCCAAACCAGTATTTACCCAGATCTCTCCTGAGTCTAAACTTATTCAGTATATATATAAATTGTTTCGTGTTTTGTGTTGATAAATCTAAAGCCATATTTATATTACCCTTATGGGAGAGAAAATACATGTTCTATTAGTTAAGTGATGCAGCTGTAAGGGGGTACTCTCACAGATCATCAGCTGTAAGGGGGTACTCTCACAGATCATCTTCCCGGGCAGTAGTCGGTGATTAAATCAATGACAGCTGTACCCTGAAGACACAGTTAAACTCTATTGTTTAATCTGCCACCACTTCCATTTCCACGCTGGGGAAGCTTTATGAAATTGAAACCAGGAGATGGTTATCCTTGACATATCTGTGTCAAAGAACGATTAGATAAATCTTACTTCACCCCCCCCCCCCTTTCCCAAGCCGCTCACACTAAGGAACACCAATAATATGTCGTTCACTGAAGGACATTTCTCATCCTGGGAAAACAAAGATTTTAGACAACGAACGAACATCGAAAATTATTCTCGTTGATTAAGTGATTTTGTTTTCAATATGGTGACCTCGAGAACCTTGGGCCAGATTCACGAAGCAGTTACGCAAGTTCTTACGAACGTGTACATCTTTCCTCAATCTTTGACGGCTTTGTTTACATTTATTAAACAGCTTACAAGCATGAAAACTTGCCAATCAACTATTGTTATTGTTATAAACAGCCTCCTGGTGCTTTGGAGCTCATTAACTGTTTAATAATTGTAAACTAAGTCGCCAAAGATTGAGAGAAGATGTACAGGTTCGTAAGTACTTGCGTAACTTCTTCGTGAATCTGGCTCCTTGTGTTTACAGCTGGAGTTATCTCCCTATTTCCCCACCACTCTCTCTTCCTCTCTCCCTCTCTCTCTCTCCCCCTTTCACCTATCCCTCTCATCTCCCTACCCCCTCCTCCACCCCTCCATCAACAGCTTCTCACCAGAAACTCACAAATCTTCATTTGCTAATGACCAGATCTCCGGAACGCAGCCCACTACCCCAGCTTGTTTGAAACTCAAAAATATTTGAAGATCTCGTGAGAGACACGAGACGGAGAGACACGAGACGGAGAGATACGAGACGGAGAGATACGAGACGGAGAGATACGAGACGGAGAGACGAGACGGAGAGACAGGAGACGGAGAGACGAGACGGAGAGACAGGAGACGGAGAGATACGAGACGGAGAGACACGAGACGGAGAGATACGAGACGGAGAGATACGAGACGGAGAGATACGAGACGGAGAGACAGGAGACGGAGGGACACGAGACGGAGAGACACGAGACGGAGAGCCGAGACGGAGAGACACGAGACGGAGAGACACGAGACGGAGAGACACGAGACGGAGAGACACGAGACGGAGAGACACGAGACGGAGAGACACGAGACGGAGAGACACGAGACGGAGAGACACGAGACGGAGAGACACGAGACGGAGAGACACGAGACGGAGAGACACGAGACGGAGAAACACGAGAAACAAGAGACAGAAACACGAGACCTGACCAAGAGACAGAAACACAACACCTGACCAAGAGACCTAACCTAACTTCACTTAGACCTAACTGTACATTAAATTCCATTATCTAAACATATTAATTCATATCTGAAAACAAAAAAAAACAACTTTATTGTTTTATCTTGAGAAAGATTTATGCTGTCAGTTGGTCGGCTGTTGTATAATAAAAATACTCTCAATAAAATCAACTTTATTTAACTTATTGATTGAGCTGGAAACTAGACTGAATTAGCTGTCAACAGATCCTAAACACCTAACCAAACTATCTTAAACCCTTACTATAAAACACAATTATATTATTATAACTGTGTAATCACTTTCGGTTGGCGAAGGTGACCTACTGTCCCGTTTTCTGTTTTAGGTCCTCTGGTTGATTAAGAGAGTTAGAACGACAGTTTCTTTACGTAATCCAACCTTAGGAGGTTACCTTAGTTTTACGTAACCTTTGGAGGACAGGCTGGGGGGGGGGGGGCATAGCCGCAGCTTGAACAGGTCTAGCCGGGGCCTAGGGTAGGGACACCCGGTGCTTGGACAAACACAGCCCTGAGCAACAAGTAAGGACGCCGGGTGCTTGGACAAACACAGCCCTGAGCCACACCTGGTGCCTCAGGTGTGGCCCGGATGTCCAACTTCAGCTCTGTAAACTTTTGCAAGCTGAAATGTTTCTTAAACCCGAAGGCAAAATAAAAAAACATGTTATTTTTTTAATCTGATGAAAACATTCGCATATTTTAGAATTATAATTAAACATTTTAACACACAACTCTGGCGCTAGTAATTAGAAATTAAAATCTAATATCTAATGTGCCCATGTTAATAATAATTACACAGAAATCACGTTATTGATTAACGTGATATATCAATAAGAAAATCCTCCAAAGCTGTGTGGTTGGCACTGCCTTGGTTGTAAGTTCGAGCCCTCCCTCGCAGCCCAAGTGGATTTTCCCAATTATACTAATAATTATATGTCGCCCTGGGAGAAGGCAAGACATGTTAAACGTATAACCTGAGATAAAATATAAGTATAAAAGTTCATAAAAATGTCTCCTTTTCCAGTCAGGAGACAAAGATGTGAAATACGCAAGGAAGTAGACATGAGAACGTAGGGGTTATCTTAGATCTTGAGGTGATTTCGGGGCTTAGTATCCCCGCGTCCCGGTCCTCGACCAGGGCCTACTTTTTGTTACACCCCCCCCCCCCCCCCCAGGAAGCAGCAGCAGCAGCCCGTGGCAGCTGTCTAACTCCCAGGTACCTATTTACTTCTACCTGTACACAAAGACAGTCTGCAGACAGTGTCTCAACAATTTATTCTGTCACAGTGTCTGTTGTCTAGGATTCCTGTCCACGGATATATATGCAAAGCCTTTTATATAATCCATAACAGAAGGGATTCACATTTAGAGTTGAAACCCCTCTCGATTTTCATTCTTCATTCATTTTACCTCTTCATTTCCTATAGCATCTCTCACGCTCTCACTCGCTCAAACTATCTATCTATGTCTATGTATCTATCTCTTTATTGTGCATAGCTAATAACATCTTACCTCCAAAAACAATTGTCAGGTTATAAAAACACCTGAATGTGATCATATCAGTGTTCCACAGAGAACAAAATGTTCTTCCCCAATCTATATAGCCAGTGAGATAATGAACAGACACGCAGCACAATCAATGGCACAGCGAGGTGCTCTCGAGCTGGAAATGTCTGCTCTGTATTCATTATGTGTGGCCATAACATGATAACATTACCATGATATCCAGTTTGGTCGGTGATTGGATCAGTGTCATGTCGGGTGAGAATGGTGTTAGCTGCTCCTAATGTGGAGACTCGGGATGTGTAGCGTCTGTTTTGGTCCACAGAGGGAGAGAGAGAGAGAGAGAGAGAGAGAGAGAGAGAGAGAGAGAGAGAGAGAGAGAGAGAGAGAGAGAGAGAGAGAGAGAGAGAGAGAGAGAGAGAGAGAGAGAGAGAGAGAGAGAGAGAGAGAGAGAGAGAGAGAGAGAGAGAGAGAGAGAGAGAGAGAGAGAGAGAGAGAGAGAGAGAGAGAGAGAGAGAGAGAGAGAGAGAGACAGACAGACAGAGACAGACAGAGACAGACAGAGAGAGACAGAGAGAGACAGATAGAGAGAGACAGACAGACAGAGAGACAGAGACAGACAGAGACAGACAGAGAGAGACAGATAGAGAGAGACAGACAGACAGAGAGACAGACAGACAGAGACAGAAACAAATAGAAAGACAGAGACAGAGAGCAAGAGAGAGAGGCAAGACCTATAAACTGACAGAGACCAACAGACAGGAACAGCAGGTCTTCGCCAGAATTTCAGTCAAGATCCAAAGTCAATTAACCATCCGCCGGTCGTATTAGTCAATGGCCAAACAAATACACTTTGCTCTTGTGTCTGTCTTTGTTGTCGTTGTTACGCTGCCCTTGGGGGCTACTTCCCTCGTGTGCGTTACAATGTTCTTGTGCGTTACAATGTTCTTGTGCGTTACAATGTTCTTGTGCGTTACAATGTTCTTGTGCGTTACATTGTTCTTGTGCGTTACATTGTTCTTGTGCGTTACAATGTTCTTGTGCGTTACATTGTTCTTGTGCGTTACAATGTTCTTGTGCGTTACATTGTTCTTGTGCGTTACAATGTTCTTGTGCGTTACATTGTTCTTGCGCGTTACATTGTTCTTGTGCGTTACATTGTTCTTGTGCGTTACAATGTTCTTGTGCGTTACAATGTTCTTGTGCGTTACATTGTTCTTGTGCGTTACATTGTTCTTGTGCGTTACAATGTTCTTGTGCGTTACAATGTTCTTGTGCGTTACATTGTTCTTGTGCGTTACATTGTTCTTGTGCGTTACAATGTTCTTGTGCGTTACAATGTTCTTGTGCGTTACAATGTTCTTGTGCGTTACATTGTTCTTGTGCGTTACATGTTCTTGTGCGTTACAATGTTCTTGTGCGTTACATTGTTCTTGTGCGTTACATTGTTCTTACGCGTTACAATGTTCTTGCGCGTTACATTGTTCTTGTGCGTTACAATGTTCTTGTGCGTTACATTGTTCTTGTGTGTTACATTGTTCTTGTGCGTTACATTGTTCTTGTGCGTTACATTGTTCTTGCGCGTTACATTGTTCTTGTGCGTTACATTGTTCTTGTGCGTTACAATGTTCTTGTGCGTTACATTGTTCTTGTGCGTTACATTGTTCTTGTGCGTTACATTGTTCTTGTGCGTTACATTGTTCTTGTGCGTTACATTGTTCTTGTGCGTTACAATGTTCTTGTGCGTTACAATGTTCTTGTGCGTTACATTGTTCTTGTGCGTTACAATGTTCTTGTGCGTTACAATGTTCTTGCGCGTTACAATGTTCTTGCACGTTACAATGTTCTTGAGCGTTACATTCTTCTTGCGCGTTACAATGTTCTTGTGCGTTACATTGTTCTTGCGCATTACATTGTTCATTTTAACCGCAGGTCGGTTCATCCTTGATGCAAGCAAGCACACGAACAAAAAACATTGTACTTGTCAGTTGCAAGATAATTATAGTATTAACTTTAATGGTCGTTTTCCAGAGTTAAAAAATACAAAGCCCATCCAGAGTTTTAAATGAAATAAATGACACTGTGAAAGAAGTTCATTGTATAACTTTTAGTAAGGAATACATATTTATACACATTTAATGCATGATTCTGAAGCTTTTTAGCTGGCGGTGTGTATTATTTCGCTAGGTGTTGAGCTCCAGTTCTGTGGTCCCGACTCTCTCAGATGGGTACAGGAGCTGACGATTTTTTACTCTTGTCAGGAGACTTAAAGAGCCCTTCTCAATGGATTTAATTTGTCCACTGTGACTCAAAAAAGCAAATATTATATAATGGTTTATTTGGGATTTTAAAAAAAGTGTCCACTGTGGCTCATTTGGGCTCTAAGTAATTACCAAAAGCAGGCACTAAGGCGAGAAGGCTATGTAATTTGGGCTCTAAGAATCTATTATTTCATCTCCATGATAATGTGTCTATGCTTCTCTCCTCGGTCAGTTCACTAAGAATTTCATAATATGAGATCATATTTTTCTCAATGTCCTGTCATCTCTTCTCTTTCATGTTGACCAGACCACACACTAGAAAGTGAAGGGACGACGACGACGTTTCGGTCCGTCCTGGACCATTCTCAAGTCGACTGAGAATGGCCCAGGGAAAAAATGGGAGGCAAGAATGGGTAAATGTAGATAATCGACTTGAGAATGGTCCAGGACGGACCGAAACGTCGTCGTCGTCCCTTCACTTTCTAGTATGAGGTCTGCTCAACATTTTCAGCCACGTTATTGTGACTCTTTCTTCTTCTTTCATCTCTTTAGACATTCTCCAACTTCTTTTCTGGTTAACAATATGAGAACTCTACGCTGACGATGCATATTTTGGAATATGTCTGACGTTTGTTATATATAAGGATTTAACAAAAGTTTATATATTGGCTTACATTGCATATGTAGCTGGCAAAGTATGGTAAATGTGAACTTCAAGGGAGAGATTTGGTGTCTCCAGTATTTGTAACCAGTATTTACCCAGGAAAGACCTGGGTAAATACTTGTTACAAATACTGGAGACACCAAAACTCTCCATTGAAGTCCAGTATTTGTAACCAGTATTTACCCAGGAAAGACCTGGGTAAATACTGTCTTGGAAAACAGGATTTGCGGTTTACTGATTTGTGGAACAAATCACCGGAAAAAACAAGAGACGGGGGGTTCAATGGACAATTTCAAGCGTCGTTTAAACACAAATATGAAGGTGTTTAATTGTTTAAAAAATAGGAAGTGCACGTAAGGTCCATTAAAAGCTGGCGTATGGCCCTGAGTTTCCTCTACGACATCATTCACAGGATTGTTCACAGGAGCCCTCGAGGCTCACGGAAGGTAGAACACAGGAGCCCTCGAGGCTCACGGTAGGTAGAACACAGGAGCCCTCGAGGCTCACGGTAGGTAGAACACAGGAGCCCTCGAGGCTCACGGAGGGTAGAACACAGGAGCCCTCGAGGCTCACGGTAGGTAGAACACAGGAGCCCTCGAGGCTCACGGAAGGTAGAACACAGGAGCCCTCGAGGCTCACGGAAGGTAGAACACAGGAGCCCTCGAGGCTCACGGTAGGTAGAACACAGGAGCCCTCGAGGCTCACGGAAGGTAGAACACAGGAGCCCTCGAGGCTCACGGAAGGTAGAACACAGGAGCCCTCGAGGCTCACGGAGGGTAGAACACAGGAGCCCTCGAGGCTCACGGTAGGTAGAACACAGGAGCCCTCGAGGCTCACGGAAGGTAGAACACAGGAGCCCTCGAGGCTCACGGAGGGTAGAACACAGGAGCCCTCGAGGCTCACGGTAGGTAGAACACAGGAGCCCTCGAGGCTCACGGTAGGTAGAACACAGGAGCCCTCGAGGCTCACGGTAGGTAGAACACAGGAGCCCTCGAGGCTCACGGTAGGTAGAACACAGGAGCCCTCGAGGCTCACGGAGGGTAGAACACAGGAGCCCTCGAGGCTCACGGTAGGTAGAACACAGGAGCCCTCGAGGCTCACGGAGGGTAGAACACAGGAGCCCTCGAGGCTCACGGTAGGTAGAACACAGGAGCCCTCGAGGCTCACGGAGGGTAGAACACAGGAGCCCTCGAGGCTCACGGAGGGTAGAACACAGGAGCCCTCGAGGCTCACGGTAGGTAGAACACAGGAGCCCTCGAGGCTCACGGAGGGTAGAACACAGGAGCCCTCGAGGCTCACGGAGGGTAGAACACAGGAGCCCTCGAGGCTCACGGAGGGTAGAACACAGGAGCCCTCGAGGCTCACGGTAGGTAGAACACAGGAGCCCTCGAGGCTCACGGAAGGTAGAACACAGGAGCCCTCGAGGCTCACGGTAGGTAGAACACAGGAGCCCTCGAGGCTCACGGAAGGTAGAACACAGGAGCCCTCGAGGCTCACGGTAGGTAGAACACAGGAGCCCTCGAGGCTCACGGAGGGTAGAACACTAACCGAGAAGAAATAACATTTACGACAGCAATATATATTCCACTGTTTTAATTAACCGGATTTTTTAATTGGAAAGAGAGCAGCACTCCGTCGATCACAATACCACAGGTTCTGTGTGGATACATATGAGGTCTGAGGCAACATATTGACCTACACATTCAATATGACATGTTGCTACACATGTTGCTACATATTCAGTCTGGGATATGTGGCTACACATGCAGTATGACACGTGTATCTACAGGTTCACTATGACACACATGCAGCTATGGTGTGAAGTATTTGGGTATATCAATGTATACCAGTTTATATATCATCACTATCTCATTCACCATTATAAGGCTACCGTATCTGGCAAGGATACAGGATACAGGGAGGTTACTGTATCTCACAGATGAGGCTGAAAAACACAAATAACGATAAGTATACACACAGAAATCACAATAGCGTGATGCATCAAATGGATAAATCCACAAGGGCCGTGACGAGGGATCGAACCGTCTGGTTCGAACCCTCGTCACGGCCCTGAAGACCCTGAAGACCCTGAAGAGGTCTGCTCGCCTCTCCTACGTCCAACCACTTGGGCTGGACGGTAGAGCGACGGTCTCGCTTCATGCAGGTCGGCGTTCAATCCCCGACTGTCCAAGTGGATGGGTACCATTTTTTCCCTCCCGTCCCATCCCAAATCCTTATCCTGACGCCTTCCCAGTGCTATATAGTCGTAATGGCTTGGCGCTTTCCCCCTGATAATTCCTCCTCCTCGCCTCCCCTACTCAGGCCAAGATTCCTTTTTGAATACCACATCTGCGACGTACCCTCTGGCCCTCGACAAACAACTCATTGCGTAATTGTTTCCGGTCGTTAAGCAGACCTTGAACTACTGTCTCGTGTAACTGGTGACCGCTTAGCAGAGGACCTCAGCCATCTGGAACGAGATGAGAATTGCTTGAGCTACCTCATCCCTTTGTGTGTATTTTACCTCAATAAACTTATTTCAATTTCAATTTCAATCGTCTGGCGTCCCAGAAGTCTCCTCAACACCCACTTCCATACTCAGCCCATTCATACACGCATAACTACAGGTCTAAGCAGACAGGAGCTAAGCAGACAGGAGCTAATTGGACAGCACCTAAGCAGCATGGACTTAGCAGACAGGAGCTAAGCGAACAGAAGCTAAGCAGAAAGTGGCTAAGCAGACAAGGGCTAAACAAGGGATAAGCCATAACTTACAATAATCAATTTATTTTACACACTCAAGAAAATGTTAACCATTCAAGCCTAAAAGTTAATTCTGAACCCAAGTCGTTCGTCAATCTCCTCATTAATGTTGACCAGACCACACACTAGAAAGTGAAGGGATGACGACGTTTCGGTCCGTCCTGGACAATTCTCAAGTCAATCGACTTGAGAATGGTCCAGGACGGACCGAAACGTCGTGTCGTCCCTTCACGTTCTAGTGTGTGGTCAGGTCAACATATTTCAACCACATTATTGTAACTCCTCGTCGCCTCGTCAATGTTGCAACAGGGATAAAGTTGATATCGAGTGTGTGCATACCAAAGACAAGTTATCTTCTTCTTGAGGTTATCTTGAGATGATTTCGGGGCTTTTTAGTGTCCCCGCGGCCCGGTCCTCGACCAGGCCTCCACCCCCCAGGAAGCAGCCCGTGACAGCTGACTAACACCCAGGTACCTATTTTACTGCTAGATAACAGGGCCATAGGATGAAAGAAACTCTGCCCATTGTTTCTCGCCGGCGCCTGGGATCGAACCCAGAACCACAGGATCACAAGTCCAGCATGCTGTCCGCTCGGCCGACCGGCTCCCCTAAGTTACCCAAGGATGCAACACGAGTCTTAAAGTGGCCTTAAGGGTTTTCCTTCCTTTTTCTCGAGTGAAAATTACAGCAGAATAATATATAATAAATTGTGTAGTTTTCTGTACCTTTACAACTAATTTCGTTTTTCCTCGTCTCTCAAAGTGGGCGTCATAGGAGGGTGTATCCGAGTGGATAATTTAATAAAAGATTAAATTATAGACGGATTATAGACGTGATTAAAGAGCCAGCGGCTCTCATGCCTGCTTTGTCGTTTGTGACTTTGTGGTTAAAGTTTCGTAACATTGTGGTTAAAGCTTCGTAACTTTGTGGTTAAAGCTTCGTAACTTTGTGGTTAAAGCTTCGTAACATTGTGGTTAAAGCTTCGTAACTTTGTGGTTAAAGTTTCGTAACATTATGGTTAAAGCTTCGTAACATTGAGGTTAAAGCTTCGTAACATTGTGGTTATAGCTTCGTAACATTGAGGTTAAAGCTTCGTAACTTTGTGGTTAAAGCTTCGTAACATTGTGGTTAAAGCTTCGTAACATTGTGGTTAAAGCTTCGTACATTGAGGTTAAAGCTTCGTAACTTTGTGGTTAAAGCTTCGTAACTTTGTGGTTAAAGCTTCGTAACTTTGTGGTTAAAGCTTCGTAACATTGAGATTAAAGCTTCGTAACATTGTGGTTAAAGCTTCGTAACATTGAGGTTAAAGCTTCGTAACATTGAGGTTAAAGCTTCGTAACATTGAGGTTAAAGCTTCGTAACTTTGTGGTTAAAGCTTCGTAACATTGTGGTTAAAGCTTCGTAACTTTGTGGTTGAAGCTTCGTAACTTTGTGGTTAAAGCTTCGTAACATTGTGGTTAAAGCTTCGTACATTGAGGTTAAAGCTTCGTAACTTTGTGGTTAAAGCTTCGTAACATTGAGGTTAAAGCTTCGTAACATTGTGGTTAAAGCTTCGTAACATTGAGGTTAAAGCTTCGTAACATTGAGGTTAAAGCTTCGTAACTTTGTGGTTAAAGCTTCGTAACACTGTGGTTAAAGCTTCGTAACATTGAGGGTAAAGCTTCGTAACTTTGTGGTTAAAGCTTCGTAACTTTGTGGTTAAAGCTTCGTAACTTTGTGGTTAAAGTTTCGTAACTTTGTGGTTAAAGCTTCGTAACTTTGTGGTTAAAGTTTCGTAACTTTGTGGTTGAAGCTTCGTAACTTTGTGGTTAAAGTTTCGTAACTTTGTGGTTAAAGCTTCGTAACACTGTGGTTAAAGCTTCGTAACATTGAGGGTAAAGCTTCGTAACTTTGTGGTTAAAGCTTCGTAACTTTGTGGTTAAAGCTTCGTAACATTGTGATTAAAGCTTCGCGACTTTCACTTGCGTGACCAGATGAAAAGGAGGGGAAAATATCCACAAAATCTTCAGAATTTGTTTGAGAATTTTCACTCTCGCGATGGAGCTATGGCGGGTGTGTGGACCCAGATTCACGAAGCAGTTACGCAATCACTTATGAACATCTTTCCTCGATCTTTGACGGCTTTGGTTACAGTTGTTAAACAGTTTACAAGCATGAAAACTTGCCACTCAACTGTTGCTATTGTTATAAACAGCCTCCTGGTGCTTCGGAGCTCATTAACTGTTTAATAATCGTAAACAAAGCCGATAAAGATTGAGAAAAGATGTACAGATTCGTAAGTGCGTGCGTAACTGCTTCGTGAATCTGGCTCCCCTCGTCCGCGAGAGTTGCTCTACGCCAATCCTGTCCTCCTCACTAATAGGTCGCGTTTGTTACGTTGTCGTAACCAGTGTTACAAATGCAGCCCGTTACGAAGAGTAACTAACCACAAATATTTACGTTTTCCTGTGCCTTTGGACTCGTTAGGTTAGGTGGGTTGTTTAGGGTAGTACGATTCCGGATAGGCTAAAAAGTTTGATTGCTTACGAAATTGCAAATCAAGATAACGGGTTGATAGACAGGAGGTTCGATATCATCCAAGTTCCGTTGCTGAAGAAGGGAGGATGAGGGAGAGTGATTCGTGAGGTTTATCTCCCCCTGGAGAACACAGGCCGGGCTCACCATAGCCTGTGCTACGTGGACACTTTGTTCCGAGTAGCTAAATCTAAAACAACAACAACAACAACACAGGAAGGAACTATCAGGAGAAAGCACTCAGCCATTACGACTATATAACACTGGGAAGGGGGTCAGGATAAGGATTTGGGATGGGACGGTGGGACAGGAATGGTGCCCCAACCACTTTGTGAACGGTCGGGAATAGAACGCCGCGACCTGCATGAAGCGAGACCATCGCTCTACCGTCCAGCCCAAGTGGTTAGGCCAACGACACAGGACGACAGGTGGACATACCCGAGGGACGAAAGACAAATATACAATGACCAGAACACGATAACATAGAGAAATTGAAATAAGGTTATTGATGTAAAATACACACAAAGGGATGAGGTTACCTTGAGGTTACCTTGAGGTGCTTCCGGGGCTTAGCGTCCCCGCGGCCCGGTCGTCGACCAGGCCTCCTGGTTGCCGGACTGATCAACCAGGCTGTTGGACGCGGCTGCTCGCAGCCTGACGTACGAGTCACAGCCTGGTTGATCAGGTATCCTTTGGAGGTAGCTCAAGCTATTCTCATCCCGTTCAGTACATCGTGTTAATACACACATAGACACACATCACAAACAATAAACATATTACCAAACTTTCCGAGAGATAAACACATACATTTCCTCCTTTACACAAGTATCATCACAAAGAGGGAAGCAACAGATCCAGCCCCCCCGAATGAGAAGGCAGGAGGCAACCGGGAGTCCCCCTAATATTTGACAAAATTTCCCTGAAGTCGAGTGTATATGACACCAGCTAATCAGCAACAGGCAGGCAGAGGATGAGCAGTAAGCCACTGCCCCCCGAATGAGAAGGCAGGAGGCAAACCGGGAGTCCCCCTAATATTTGACAAATCTTCATCCTTCGGCATCCATCATCGCACATTTAGGTCCCCACGCCTTCCCCCTCAAGTACCACACGTAAACTCCGGCCTCACCTTTCACCTCGCTGTGTCTCATCTGAGTGGAGAATGTGGAACATGAGGCATCATGGGGACCCCTCCACCCCCTAAGGGGAGTGTTGGTGGTGAGAAGTGTTCAGGGAAGGTGACTTGAGGATTTGGTGGCCTCAATGACCACGGCGTAGAGATGCAGTACATAGTCGACGTAGCATAGAAGAGGCAGCATAGTCGAGGAATGATAGAAGAGGTAGCATAGTCGAGGAATGATAGAAGAGGTAGCATAGTCGAGGCAGCATAGTCGAGGTATGATAGTCGAGGTATGATAGAAGAGGTAGCATAGTCGAGGTATGATAGAAGAGGTAGCATAGTCGAGGTATGATAGACGAGGTAGCATAGTTGAGGTATGATAGTCGAGGTAGCATAGTCGAGGTATAATAGAAGAGGCAGCATAGTCGAGGTATGATAGAAGAGGCAGCATAGTCGAGGTATGATAGTCGAGGTAGCATAGTCGAGGTATGATAGAAGAGGCAGCATAGTCGAGGTATGATAGAAGAGACAGCATAGTCGAGGTATGATAGAAGAGGCAGCATAGTCGAGGTATGATGGAAGAGGCAGCATAGTCGAGGTATGATGGAAGAGGCAGCATAGTCGAGGTATGATAGAAGAGGTAGCATAGTCGAGGTATAATAGAAGAGGCAGCATAGTCGAGGTATGATAGAAGAGGCAGCATAGTCGAGGTATGATAGAAGAGGCAGCATAGTCGAGGAATGATAGAAGAGGCAGCATAGTCGAGGTATGATAGAAGATGTAGCATAGTCGAGGTATGATAGTCGAGGCAGCATAGTCGAGGAATGATAGAAGAGGCAGCATAGTCGAGGTATGATAGAAGAGGCAGCATAGTCGAGGTATGATAGAAGAGGCAGCATAGTCGAGGTATGATAGAAGAGGCAGCATAGTCGAGGTATGATAGAAGAGGCAGCATAGTCGAGGTATGATAGAAGAGGCAGCATAGTCGAGGTATGATAGAAGAGGCAGCATAGTCGAGGTATGATAGAAGAGGCAGCATAGTCGAGGTATGATAGAAGAGACAGCATAGTCGAGGTATGATAGAAGAGGCAGCATAGTCGAGGTATGATAGAAGAGGCAGCATAGTTGAGGCAGCATTAAAGAGACAGCATAGTCGAGGCAGCATAGAAGAGACAGCATAGTCGAGGCAGCATAGTCGAGGCAGCATAGTCGAAGCAGCATAGTCGAGGCAGCATAGTCGAAGCAGCATAGACGACGCAGCATAGACGAGGCAGCATAGACGAGGCAGCATAGTCGAGGCAGCATTGTCGAGGCAGCATAGTCGAGGCAGCATAGTCGAGGCAGCATAGTCGACGCAGCATAGTCGACGCAGCATAGACGAGGCAGCATAGACGACGCAGCATAGTCGAAGCAGCATAGACGAGGCAGCATAGACGAGGCAGCATAGTCGAGGCAGCATAGTCGATGCAGCATAGTCGAGGTATGATAGAAGAGGCAACATAGTCGAGGTATGATAGTCGAGGCAGCACAGCACAAACGCTTCTCTCGATCCCAAGTCCGTTTTCTTGATTTGTCACTCCGTAAAAAATCCAACCTTTTAGCCGAACCAGAAACGTACACACCCAAGCAACCCACCTACCGTAACCTATAAGAGTCCGATGCAAAGAAAACGAGAGTATTTGAGAGTCCTTACGGTAGACGTCTCGCTCCATGCAGGACAGCGTTCAATCCCCGACCGTCCCAAAGTGGTTGGGGCACCATTCCTTCCCCACCGTCCCATCCTAAATCCTTATCCTGGCCCCTTCCCAGTGCTATATAGTCGTAGTGGCTTGGTGCTTTCTCGTAATAGTTCCTTTTCCTTCCCTTGAGAGTCCCTATGTTCCCAAATAAGTTGTATTTGGGACGTTGGATACGATAACGTGAAAAATCGCGACTTATTGGAGAAGACGGGTTATGGACGTGGCTGTACGTTCCTGCGGTTTCTCTCCCGTAATGTGAGAGAGAGAGAGAGAGAGAGAGAGAGAGAGAGAGAGAGAGAGAGAGAGAGAGAGAGAGAGAGAGAGAGAGAGAGAGAGAGAGAGAGAGAGAGAGAGAGAGAGAGAGAGAGAGAGAGAGAGAAAGAGAACAAGAGAGAAAAGAGAGAGAGAGAGAGAGAGAGAGAGAGAGAGAGAGAGAGAGAGAGAGAGAGAGAGAGAGAGAGAGAGAGAGAGAGAGAGAAGAGAGAGAGAAGAGAGAAGAGAGAGAGAGAGAGAGAGAGAGAGAGAGAGAGAGAGAGAGAGAGAGAGAGAGAGAGAGAGAGAGAGAGAGAGAGACAGAGAGAGAGAGAGAGAGAGGGAGACAGAGAGAGAGGGAGACAGAGAGAGAGAGAGACAGAGAGAGAGAGAGAGAGATGGCAGGTCTATCGTCGACTGGTGGCTAATGATTGGTGCAAATCTAATTTACTGGTGTGTGACATCCCTCCCCCCCCCTACCCCCTCCTACTCCCTTACCCTCTGTACGTCAACCCGTCCACACAGAAGGCTAGACAGAGGCTGTGTCCGTCACTATCATCCACTGGAAACATAAAAACCAGCGCCAGGATACATCAAATATTTACACATACGAAACCTGTACATCTTTCCTCCAAGATGGCGGCTCAGTTTGAATTTATGAAAGAGTTAACCGACTCCAAAGCTTAAAAAGGATGTCTGTAACAATGAACTTGGGCTGGTAAGCTGTTTAATAAATGCAGTTCAAGCCTCCATAAGTGAGGAAAGATGTAGAGGTTTCGTAAGATCGATGACGAATCCTGGGCCTGAAATTAGGGAGGTAAGTAAGGTTCCATTCACCTGGGCTGTAAGGGATTCGAACCCTGGACCCCACTCATGTGTGAAGCCGAAGCTCTATCGACTGGGCTATGAGTAGTCTCAATAAGTTATTTCCTCTTCTGAACGTGTCCTGGACACGTCCAGAAGAGGTAGACAATTCCAGGTCCTAATTCTTGCTGCCAGGTAAGTTAGAGAAATCCGCCGTCATACATGCACACACAAACATATACATAATACATGCACACACATACATAATACATGCACTCACATATATACACAAACACACACGTAATGGACTGGGGAATAGGGGGAGAACAGGACACACACTTAACCTACATATTTTTAAACTATATCTAAACCCATCAACAAGGTTTTCAGTCCAGAAACTAATAGTGATTCTGAATAGAAATCCCTCACCAGAGGACCCCATAAAGGCCACTGTGAGAGGAGTCTTCGCTCTGCTACCAAATTTTAGAACCACGTACGAATATATGGAAACAGAAAAATATAAAAAATTTATTATTTATACATTTAGAAAGACCACAATTGGAATGTATCAAAAACTACCAAATTAGAAAGGGGTGAAAAGCCTTCCTCCTCAAGCAGCTCCAATAGGCCAATACGAAACCGTTCCTATTGACCCATATGAGACAGCTAGTATTGACTCATATGAGATCACTCCTTTTGACCCATATGAGAAAGCTCGTATTGACCCATATGAGAATACTCCTATTGACCCATATGAGAAAGCTGGTATTGACCCATATGAGACAGCTCCTCTTGACCTTTATATATTGACAGCTTCTATTGACCCATACAAGGCAGTTTATATTGACCTATATGAGACACCCTATTATAAAACCAATCAAAACTCATCCTCTATACTATAATGATTATATAAACAAAAATGGTTACGACACCGAACCGTAATTTAGACAACTTCATGGGCGATTTTTTTCAAATTCAACTTTGAAGCCTAAGGCGACCAAACTAAATAACTAGCAATGTTGTCCGTATTTCCCTATTAAATAATGGGACCCCAACGTCCCATCATTTTCTCTATCATTTCATAACGTAGATTTATTTCTAGAATTTTGCCAAAAGAGCCGAACAAAGGAGTTAATGCCCAAATAAATGCCTCAGTGGAAGAGTTAATTGTGAACGCTGCCTTGTAACTTATATATGGAATTATACATAAATTCCTGTGTAAACAAAAGGAAATTGGAACATACCTTACAACTGGTGGATTCCTGTCCATCGATGAGCAGCGGAAACTTACCTGTAACGGGATGAAAGAGAATTATTTATAAGATCTATTCAAATGCTTTTTCCATATTTCAAGCCTCATACACTACAAATACAAGAACATAAGAATTTGAGAAACTGTAAATGGTCTATTGACCCACACGAGGCAGCCCCTATTGGCTCAACGAGGCCGCAACTATTTACCCAAACACATTCATATATGCCTAACCATCGCTTGAAACATTCCAACAATTCCTCGTGTATTACGTTACTCGTTAATTTTTTCCATAAATCAACAAACAGCTTCCAAACCAGTATTTACCCAGGTCTTTCCTAAATCTTAACGTATCGAATTTATATCCATTGTTTCGTGTTTTATTTTGTGCTGACATATTTAATAATTAATACCTTCTCTGTTATGTCCTTTCATCCACTTGTACACTTCACTCACCATAAAAATAATCACATTTCAAGCCAGATAATTGAGGAGTGGAGGAAATGAGACACTTGAACAAGGAGATAATGTTTACCTTATCATGGCGGGTGAGGGCGCTCGGGTGCCTGGTCTAGTGAGCAGCTCACACTGACCCAAGTGGCATTTAGTCACCAATTACCACAATACACTTTTATTATCTCGTTAAACACTTCGTGAATAATTTCTGCACCTTTATAACACCAATACTGTTAAGTCAGGGTTACGTCACACAGTCCGGATAACTGTCTGTGACCGAACACACCCGGACGACTGTCAGTAACAGTTGAGTTGATCCGTCACATTCGCCCCGTCGCCACCAGCACCAACCATAGTCAACTACTCAGTGATCCAACCCGCGCAAGTGGATCTTTCACAACCTCTTCCTTGCCACTTCCTCAACCAGTTCCTCAACCCACACGAAGCCTGGCGGGGTTTGATCCTCAACCCGTTCCTCAACCCACACGAAGCCTGGCGGGGTTTGATCTTGCAACCTGTCCTCAGGCT